TTCAAATTATTAGTGGCTGCTTGCAGCCTTGTTGGAAATGAATTAAAATTAAAAAAATTTAGGCTTCATGAACCATTGCAAATTACTTACCTGTGTATTGCCTACACCACTGCGAAAATTGATCCAGGTATAATAAGCTCTTATAAAAATGACACATGTGACCAATGCACAAAATTGTAAAGAATACAGCTCTGATAAAAAAATTCTATTTAAAGATCAGTTCTGAAAATTTCATTAGAATCTATAAATATTACATTGGTCAGTATTAAATATGACATTGGTCTAGCGGCAACTGCTGCGATAGTAACTACAGCATGAGTTGATGGATGGAGTTGATGACTTTTATCCAAAAGCAACAGGTAATTAACTGATAATTTATTGCAATGTTTAAAATGGAAAATGTTATAAACACAACTTCTAATCAGCACTAATTGGTGTGATAACACATGAATGTATTCCTTCTTAAACATCTGAATGTTGGATGAAGTCCAACAGCAGTAACAAATGGATCAAGATATACATATTAATAATTATTATCTATTATTATTTAGAACAAAATAAAATTGTTCGAGCATTGAATTGTTTAAAAATTAAAATATTAGTTTATGTTTAATTATTTTACAAACTTTTTCTATGCAATTAGGGATCGTCCATAAAATACGTACGCTCGGAGAAGAAGAGGAGGTCTGCAAATGATGTTTCTGAGATAAGGGGGCAGTAGGTCAATTATAAAAGTATGGAGACACTAAACAAAAAAAAATATCATAAAATGTTGGGTAAGTAGGTTAAAAGCGTAGGTATTTTTAGGGAGGTAGAGAGTACTCAAAAAAGCGTACAGCAAATTGCAAGGAGGGGGGGAAGAGGGTAAAAAAAAGAGTACGTACTTTATGGACGACCCCTTAGAGAAAAATAATAGAAATATATTTGAAAAAAAAAAAAAACCGTACATGGGCCACAGCGTTACATTTTTATTGGTTTCATATTTGTATTTTAAATGATATAAATAAAATTTAAAATTGTATATTTTCTGTAAGTAATATTTACAAAAACTTGATTAACATTTAAATAATTAAATTAAAAGGTTTAAGTTGTTAGTTAAAATTTAAAGAACAAATTAATTTGAAATTTATAAATTTGTTTTAAGCTTGCTTGCAAAAGCAAGTCTAAATATTAACTTTTTTTTTCGATCAGTTAAATAATAAAGCTTTTATTTACAAATAAGTATTATGGCTATGAAATTGTTCAAAAAATATTTGCCTGATATATAGCCCAGTAATTGTAATACAGTAATAATGCAGTAATATATAGCCCAATAATTGGAGTTACATGTACCATGTAACTCCAATTATTGGGCTATAAAATTGTTTTGGTGTTTTTTAGCAATTAGAAGTTTTTAAAAATTTTCCTGTCAACATAGCCAGGTTGCTTAGAAACCTAGAAAAATCCGTAGAATTTGAATAAAATAGTTTATAGTAGCCCTAAAACATAAAGAAAAAAACTTGTTGATTTTATTATTGCAGTTTATTTTCCTGTCTAGTTTAATACTAAGGCTAAGCATATTTGGATAAAAGGACCTAGAAATGTTTTTTGTTTCAACACCAGTTATAAGCTACTTATACTTTTTTTAAACAAATTCATTTTCTGTAAGATTGTAAAGAACAATTCAGTTATTAAACAGAAATTGAAAAAAAAAGTTGAAGAGCAAGAAAACAACTGAGCAAAACTGAGAAATCAACTGATTGAGCAAGACTAAGCAAAAAATCAACTTGAACTGTTAATTCTTTGAGTCAAAAAACTTGAATATGAGAGAAAATTCTAATACATTGATTTATAAGAAAAAAAGCTAGATAAATAAAAGTTTTTTGCTCACAAAGGAAAAGTTACAGTAAGGTAAAGCTGCTCAGCTGAAATACAAGTGATTCAGCCAACTAGCGTTCTTGATTTCATCAAGCAATATTTTGGTTAATGAAACAAGAGCTTGCTTGAGCAGTGACAGTGGTAGCATGTTTTAAAACAGAAAAATATATACGATGATCGAACAATAGAACAGAGGCTCAAATTTTGCAGTTAGAGTAGTCTAACAACACTTACAATATGATTTTGATCCTTGTCTAATTAAGGGGACTCCTTCACAACCATATAACTATATGATTAAAAATGTTTTAGTTTGCAACTCAAAAGTTTTTTCTTATAAATTAAACATATAAATTTTTAAAAACAAATAATGGAGTTAATCAGATTTGATTTGATAGAAGTTTAGGTTGTCTGTATGTCAATGTGTCATGCCCATATGAGTTATGTTCATGTGAGTTGCTGAACTATATTTTATTTCCTAAAGAAAATTTTTGACTAACAGTCGCTTATATATAAGTGACTGTTAGTCAAATATTTTCTCTAGGAAATAAAAGCAAACAAAAATAGAAATAATTTTAAAGTTCTTTTTTCCAAAATAAAAGAAAAAATTAAAAAAAAAGGTAGTAATAAATAAGAGGTATTTATTGTTTTTGTAAATTTTATTAGTTATATCATATTATGTCTTTATATAGTTTATATTAATTATTATAAATGGTATATACTTTTTTTAACTTGTTAGTCAGGGTAATAAATAACATTATTAGCTAATATTTTATTTATTACATTTATCAAATGTCTCTATAAAAAACGACAGAAAGTTGTAATTGTTAATAAAAAAACAGTTGTCTGAAGAGAGGAAAATGTTTCTTAAAAAAACATGGTATATAAATGTATTGTTTCCTCTAAGAATGTATCTGATAAACAAAATATTGGCTTAAAATAAGGTGAGTGGAAAACATTTTACCAACTATTAGCAATCCTTTAAAAATAAAAAGTATTCAAAAGACACCATGCTGTCGAAGTACATATGGGAATTGAAAGAAAATAAACATTTATGAATTTACATTGAATTGATCCATCCTTAAAACAGCACCTGCATATAATAATATTTTCAAAAAGTGCATATTATGTCTGCAAGAAAAATTTGAAATAATTACACATGGGAACCAAGAATTGTTTCTAAAACAAAAAATTAGAATTGATTTCTAGATGCAGGCAAGAAAATAAAAAACTATAAAAAAAAATGACTCAAAAAATTTTCAAATAATTATCAAATCCCATTTAAAATTATATTTTAAAAAAAGTGGAAGTAAACAATTTTAAAGAATTTTTTTAATAATAGTGTCAGCATATTCAACAAATGCGTGATATTTTACAGTATAAATAGTGTCAGCATATTTTACAAATGTGTGAGCTTTTACGGTTTTAATTGAAGTTTTAACAATTTGAACATTCATTTCCGATGAGTCTTTATTGATGAAACACTGTAAAATAAGTGATTTTGTACTAATTTATTATTGGATTGTTTTTTTAAGAGCACTCTATTTTGTAGAATACATTTAATTTATTTAGTGTGGGTTTGGAAGTCAATATTTCCAAACCTAAACATTTATGATTTCATTTCCAGGTTTTCTAAACTTATAACATTTCCAAACCTACAAGTTTTGTTATTCGTTTGAATAAATTATTCAAACAAATTGAATAAATATCAGTCTACACTTTTTGTAAAATTGACCACAAAAGAGTTGTTGTAGTTCTTTTCATTCTTTAAAATCCAGTTCAAATACCCAATGAGACACTTTTCACACAGTAGGAGTTTTCTAAATAGTATTAAGAATTCCATTTACTTTCACAAGATTACCAAGCTGATTTGAAGCAAAACAGTCACACACCAATACTGAAATACACCAATCTACACCAATCCAGACCATTACTAAAACTCCACATCAGTCCACACTATAACTAAAACTCCACACCAATCCCACACCATTACTGAAACTTTGCAATGTTTAACAGTAGGCTTAGCATGGAATGAATTTTTCAGTAGCTGTTTGTTGCACATAGTTCCTTCGTTTTGTTCCAAAAACAAGAAATTTAAATTCATTTGTCCACAATACAATTCATCAGTCTATTTGTGTCTTTTTTTTATATTATATGGTCCATTGAACTTTCATTTTTTATTTTTTTAAAAGCTATTTCTTTTACATGAGAGCATAATTGACTTGTCTTCAGACTTTGATGTTTTAAAGGGATGTCCACTTCTTTTCCTATCTTTATTTGTTTATATTTATCATTTAAATTGATAAATAGTATCACTCACAATTGACTGTGGTAATTTTAAAGTACTTTAAAGAGCAAGTTGAATTTTATTTACAAATTTTGTGATTATGTTTGAATAAAAAATTAAACTTACTAGTTTGCGTTCAAAAGTACAAACTTGAATTTTGGAGTTTAAACATACAAATGAATTTAAATTGGAATTCAAGTACCGATTCAAGTTCATATACAAAAATGAAGAAAATATTTTATATTTTGCATTAATATTTTCAAAATACATGCCAGTACATTTTATTTAAATTATTTTATGACATAAATGGTTTTAAATATTAATATCAATTATTATAAATGAGAAACTAAAAAAATTTCAAGTGACAGAAAACATTTGTATATATACAGTGATATACAGACTTATTTTTGATAAAAAAGTTAATTATAAATTTTAATTTGTAAAATTATATTTTGATTTGGTTTCATATATAGATAGATATTATTATATTATATAAATAGTTTTTAAAATATAAATATGTTTCACATGATTTAGAGCACACAGTCTATTCATATTTTAAAAATTATATTTAGTAATGTTTGTTTACTATCAAAAAGCCAATTTAATTAGTAAATTAGTTTTGTTAAATAAGTAATTTAATTTACTAATTTATTAAAAGTAATTTGATCCAAATATGTTGCCCTTTCGAGTGACTCATTTTCATCAGAATAATAGTTTTAGTCTGATGCCATTGAGTACCATGCCTGTACATATATTATACAACATATCATATATCATACCTCTTTTATGTGATTAAAATTTTAATGAAATAGTTTTATTAGGAAAATTAAAATTGTAAAAATTAAAATTAACATTTTAGATTCTGCTATGGATTCATTTACTTGCCGCTATGTTATCATTATCTACTGTATATGTTTATTCAGCTATATGGACTGGTATGTTTTAAAAATGAAGCTGTTTTAAAAAGTTAAATTTTATATATTATAACCATTTAATAAAGTGTTAAAATTTAAATAAATAATGATATTTAAAGAAAAAGCAGAGAATTAATACATTAGATACTTTCTGGTATTCAAGGCATGTCTAGAATATACACATAACACAAACAAATTTTTTTGTAAAATAACTAATAAGCAGATAAACACACACACAGAGGAAATGTTTTAAAAGAATATTTTTTATATTTGTTTGATGTTATTAGAGCAAATGACCTACCTGTAGTTACAAGTTGATCATAGTTTTCTTTTTGCACAAAGAAAGGGAGAAAAGAAGTAATAAAGAAGTAAATCAAGTTAACAGATCCTTTCATTAAAAGAAACTCACTCTGAAGATAAAAAACCATGTCTTTTTCTTTTCTACAAATACAACAAGGCTACAAGCAACCATTATTAAGTTGAGAGTTATTAGAAAACAAAGATTAGATTTGAATTGCAAGGGAACGGTTGACAAAAGGTTTAAAAAGTTGTAGATTATATCAGTCAGAAAAACATGAAGATGGGAGAGAGTTGTAAAGGGTTAAATTGCGGGGGGAAAGTCTAGATAAATCAAAGTTTTTAAAGAATGCTGGGAAGATACAGTAAAAAAGTGAAACTTTGCTGAATGATGAGTTATGTGACAATGAATTTTGCGGATCCAGATACCATAGCTCCTTTGAGCAGCAACCATGATAGTGTTTGTAGAAAAGAGAACAAGATGCTACTTTGTGACAATGGACGCAAGCTTGGCAGATAAAGCAGGTCCAACTTTCTTTTAAATGTATTTTTTGACTTTGTTTTTCTTCTCTAGAAGAAAGAGTATCATTAGAAGAACCAACCCAAATATGACAATAGTATTCCGTTAGGGTTGAATAAGAGACTTGTAGAGGTAGAGAATGAAATCAGGAGTAAGAAAATGGCAAGCACAATTAAGAAAAGCAACCTTAGTAGATGCTAATTTGGCAATCAATAGTATATATGGTTACCATAAAAGGTCAGTAATGAACAATAATCCAAGAAGATGTAAAGAAGAGGATTCAGTGAGAGGATTGTCATTCATCGATATGTTTTTATATTTAAAAATAAGTTTTTAAAAATTGGAACAACAGATCCCATTTTCCAGCAAGCAAAAAAAATGAGATTTAGTGAAGTACTTCTTAAATAGTTTAAAAAGAATTGAAGAGAGTTCTGGAGAGTACTTTTGCAAGTCTATGACAGAAATGTTGTCTGGACCACAAGCTTTTGAAAAGTTTAATTAAGATTTCACTTTAGCAAAGGAAGCTGGAGCTATTTGAATGTCTAACAATCGGTGAACTTTTTTATTTGGAATGGAAGGAAAAATATGGAAATAAGATTCAAGAGTCAAATTAGAAGAAAAGTTCTTTCCAAATAGTTCTGCCTTATCCTTGAGAGAGTTAATAAGATCTAAGGTAGGCCTAACAGTCCATTGAATGAGAGATGGACTGTTAGGCCTACCTTTGTTATTTATGCTGTTGAAGATTTCTCAAAAGTCTCTAAAGCCTAACTTCTAAAATAAGATACGAGATTTAGTGAACTGAGCAAAATAGAGCTTAGCACCAGACAGCACCATTTTACATTGATTTCTTGCAATAATTATTATGAGTTTGTTCTCAAAAGAGTTGTTCTTTTGAAAAAGATGAAAAAAATTATAACAAGCAGGTAAAAACCATGGAGTAGAATAAGGCTTAACTTGAAACTGATGAAAATTGATAAAAGTTTCATTCCTGCATATATCCAGAAATTTAAATAGGAGGCGCATTTATCAGCAGAGATACAAAAAACATTTGCCCAAACCATCTCGAAGAAAATAACAAAAGGAATCCCAGTCAGCTTTAACGTAGTAGTAAGTAGTGCAGTGATAGGGCGAGTCTAAAGAAGAAGTATGAGATGAAAGATTTTTAAAGATTATTGCAAGGCCAGAACCACTTAAGGGAAAAAAGGAGAAACTGAACACAAGCTAGAGTCAGATACAACGCACATTTTAAAGAGTGAAGGTAAGTGATTAGAGTTGTCTTGAAAACAAGTCACAAAGTTTACTATCTGAGTTTGAAAAGTGCAGAAGTTATGAGCTTCAGTGACAGCAGGGTCAGTGGTGTTTGAGCGAAGCCATTCCATGTGACAAGCATTAATCTCCATTCAATCAGCATTATCTCCAATAACAATATTGACAGAGGAGTAAAGAGAAAAGGCATGATTAATTTGATCAGAAATTACATCTAAAAGAGTCTTCAGAAGAAAGAGAATGATAAAAAACAAAGAAAAAGGTTATAGAGTGAAGAGGTGCTAAGCGGAAGCAAATAAAAGAATGTTTAAATGATTTGAAGCTGATTTCTCAACCAATAAGTGAATTGATGCGTAAGTATACCCTCAAGCCAAGCATGTGACTATTGGAGTCTTTGCAAATCAAATGATAGTACCTATCAATATTAGGATCTGAAAAAAGAACAGCCGAATTGAAGTTAGTCTCACAAAGACAAAGCAAGTCTTGTGAGTTTTGCAAGTAGTATGGTTCAACTGATGGAAGGTTACTTTCAAAGCCTAAGAATTTGTGAAAGTGATATATTGAAAAAATTAGGTGATAGAGATGATTTTTAATGTTTAGGGTTATTTTAGGCATTATTTAAGTTTAAAGAGAGCTTGACTCATTTATAGATAAAGTGCGGCATCCAAGCAATGAGCTATGCGTTTGTCTTAGTCCTGTTAATTAACTTGTAATGTAATTCTCCATGCTGTCATTATATTAGTAATAGTAGCGATGACATGAAGTACACTTGTTTTAACCTTTGCTTAGAAAGTGAAGCCCACAAGACTGCAGAACATAGAACAGGTTGCACTGGTTTACATGTTACCTGTATCAGGGTGATTACAATGACCATATACCTGACCTGACAAAAAATATTTTAACAGTGATATAAAAACACTCTATGATTGCAAATATAGAGGCAATGTAAATCTCTTTATGACAACAAATAGATTATGATGTGAATCTTATCTATTTGTATATAAATGTGAATCTCTTTATGATCCTAAAGTTGAAGTAAAATAAATTTTTTGATTGAACTTCAATTTTTGAGAAAATTATTTAGATTTAAAAAAAAAAAAAATAAACTCACACTTTTAAATGGTCCCCGTATTGTCATATATATCATTTTTATCACTATTATTATTAACCATAGTGAATATATAATTTAATTTTTTTTCATTGATTTTTTGAATTACTTTTATGTAAGATTTTTTTTTTTTTAAATGTATTGTCATATCATTTTTATCACTATTATTATTAACCATAGTGAATATATAATTTAATTTTTTTTTATTGATTTTTTGAATTACTTTTATGTAAGATTTTTTTTTTTTTAAATGTTCTATATGATCACTTAAATTTACAACTTTTGTCAATAAGTATATATATATATATATATATATATATATATATATATATATATATATATATATATATATATATATATATATATATATATATATATATATATGCATGTATATATATATATATATATATATATATATATATATATATATATATATATATATATATATATATATATATATATATATATATATATATATATATATATATATGTATGTATATATATATATATATATATATATATATATATATATATATATATATATATATATATGTATGTATATATATATATATATATATATATATATATATATATATATATATATATATATATATATATATATATATATATATATATATATATATATATTATATATAGTTGATATAAATATTGTTAAAAAACAACATTAATATCAACTAGTATATATACATAAAATTTTATTTTAAACTCTATTTTATTTTTATAGCTGTTATTGTGTTTTATGGCTTTATATTTTGTCCCAACTACACTCGCCTCGGTGGTTATGTGGGCACATCTAGTCTAAGGTGAATATCACATTTGTTTTAAATTTGCATCACATTATATCTGTTTTTTATATATAAAAACTTCCCTATATAATTTAATACTTTCTACTGAATGTGTTTGGTATCTACTTAATGTTTGTAGTAACTTTCTTTGATAATCAAACTATATTAATTCTTCTTATTTCTTGTTTAAGAAAAATAAAACATTTTTTGATATATTTTTTAATTTAGTTCTTGTTTTCACAAAAAAAATTCATAATAAAAACTAAATATTTTTTCTCCTCCCTGTCATTGCTCTTCCCCAAGGTTGGTTGATCTAGCTGATTCTGATTCACTATTGTTAAGTCATTTATTTTTTGTGTTATTGTTTTGTTTGCATAATTGAAACCCTTAAATAATAAGTTTAGCAAACAAACTAGCAGAGGGCAATACTATTAGGGTCATAACTTGATCTGCATCACTACTATGTTCAATGGACTAATTGAGGAGCTAAGTTAATCTTAGCTTTAAATAACTTCTCAGTCATTCAACTGAATAGCCAAGAAGATAAGATGCAATGCTGTTCTGTTCCGAGCTGTTATGTTGTCTAGGAGCCAAGTTAAAACGCTATTATATTTTTTAAGCAGTTGTCAAACTTCATATTGCATCGAAAAACTGCTGAGAAAAAAATAAGTAGCTCAAAAAATGGTTATATTAAATTAGTTAGATTAAAAAGTGTTTAACGTTGTTAGAAAATAATTGTTAAAAGCTATTTCTATATTATTTATTTATATTTCTTGACATTTTCTATATTACTTATAACTTTACTTTTTTTTTACTACTTTTTTTCTACTTTTTTACTACTTTTTTCTACTTTTTTATATTACTTACAACTTTACTTTGCAATACACCAGTAACTAATTTTATGTAGTACAAGATTTACATCATGATGACATGAGCAACATTTAAATCAACGATATTTAAAAGAAGATTGTGTTTTTTTGCAACGTTCTTAGTGAAAAGGGTTGTATCAAATTATGTTCCTTTATGGTATTTGCTCTAAACAGGTTCTATATTAGACTGATATTTGAGTTTGGAGAAAAAATCTTATTTTAATTATGCATCCTGATCAGTTTTTTCAAAAATTATTTTGTTAATCTCAGTGATAGTACACAGAAAAATTTTTAATATGCTTGGAGAGTGGTTAGAATCAACATGTATATAACTGAAAATGCTATCTTGCTTTGAGTATGGTTTATGGAGGAATTATTTTTAAGATTTAGTGTTTAGTCATTTAAGGTAATTAGTAATTTTTACATTATAGCTGAATATGTTTAGATATTCAGCTGAAGATTTTTTTTTTTTTTTTAATATCTAGAAAGTGCTTCTTTTTTTTGTTTTTATTTGTTAACCACCTAAGTTTGTTTAAAGTTGTTATGTTTAAAACATATCAGTTGCTATTTTTGTTATTTATTATATCATTTATATACATATATACATACACATGCGCAAATATAGGTGGGGTGGATTATTTTAAGTAGTTAGTTATATAGATTTGCGTAGCTTTCTAATTTCAAGACTTTCAGTTTGTTTTATTTTGATTGAAAAGTTAGAAAAAAAGAATTTTTTTTGAATGAAAAATAAAAAAAAAAAAAGCTCGAACATACATTAGCATTTTCTTTTTGTAAATCGTAATTACTCCTACAGTTATGAAGACAACCTTTATTTGGCATGTTTAAACCAAATACAGAACAGGCAAGTAAATTACTAATTACTGAACATTAAGTCATGGCTTTTTATAAGACAGCAAATTAGCCTGTATTTTCACGCTAACATAAAATCAATAGAAAAGCCAACTTATTCAACTTTTTACAATAAAATATTTTGTAGAATCTTGACCTAAACCTTACTTAATATACTTTCTAAGATTAAATCCCACAACTGAATTCTGGATCCGCTCCTGTTCATACATGTTTACATGCACAGACACACACACTCACACATTTTCTATATTTTTACTATATTATGACTCTTACAGGAGTAAGCAAAATAATATTAGTATAAAAAATAATTTAAAAAAAAAATTTTTTTTACAGTACCACCAATTATGTATAAATATTTATATTATTTTTATATTTGTATTATATTTGTTTTTTTATTTTGTTGTTTTTGTATTAATGTATTAACATTTCTCATAGTGAAAAATACCATTGTTTTTAGCAAAGAATACTTTTTTGCTACATTCGGCATTGGTCTGATTCTTAATTTGACTGCTTCTATTACAATGGGAACCTTTTTACTTTTGGATGCAATGGTAAGCTAATAATGATGATGATAATGATGATGATGATGATGATGATGATGATGATGATGATGATGATGATGATGATGATGATGACCATGATGCTGATGATCATGATGGTGATGATCATGATCACTGTCATGATCATTAAATTATTTATTTCTAGAAACATGGTTGTGCTGAGTTAAAAGGAGATTGTGGTTATGTAAATATTTGGTCAAGTAAGTTGAAACTGAAAAAACATAGGTTTAAGTAATCTTATGTTATAGCCTGTTATAAAATTGTTTATGTGGTATAGCGTGTTATAAAATTGTTCATGTTATAAAATTGTTCATGTTATTGTATGTTATAAAATTGTAAACAATTTTATAACATACAATAACACATAAACAATTTTATAACACACAATAACACATAAACAATTCTATAACATGTTGATTACATAATCAACATTGATTATTAACTATATTAATAAGAATAAATTTAATAAGTAAAAAAAAAATTTTTTTTAAGGATTTATTTTTTAATGTAAGACTTTTTTTTAAATTTCTTCAATTTAGTTTTTTTTCTATTTCTGTGCTCAAGTATTAGAGTTAGAAGTTTTTAATAAAAAATTTAGTTTTTATTTTGTTTCAGGTTTTTTGTGTATTTAAGTTTTCTGTTGTGTTTTGCAGTTCTGTTATGCTTTCATTTATCTGCAATGCTTTATTTTTTTGTTGCATTTTAATTTTCTATTATGCTTTATAGTGCCGTACGCAGCAACAGTTAGGATGGTACTGGTCGAAAAAAAATATTTGTTCTTTATTTATTTATTTTTAATAATTATGTATATAAAATGCCCCTACTTTTAATGGTTTTTGAAAGTGAAAGACATTTTTAAACATCTAAAATGCATCTTGAGCCTACTGATTAGATATTTAGATTCAGGCCTAGTTATGAAGCCTTACAGAATACGCATTTTATGAATAAAATGGTGTTTTCACCTGCAATTTATGTTCAACAAAAAATTTAATCAATAGGAATATTTAAATTGTTTGTTGATATTGTTTATGCAACGTTTATGAAATTATTTGTTGTAAAAAATATGTTAACCGCATCTATAAAGTGTTATGATTTTTTGATTAAAAAAAACAAATAGTTATTATTTTTTTAATAAAAAAATTTATAATAAATATAGTTTTAAAAATTAAAATTTTAACTTTGAAAGAATGTAAAATGGTTTTGCAATACTGTTTAAAAAGATAATTATTGATAAAATTTACTAATGAAATTTATAACTCATAGGATTTTCAGTTTGGGCATTTAGCCCAAATCTTTATTTTTCTGTTGTGTTTTTTTAAATTTTTTGTTGTGCTTTATTTATCTATTAAGTTTTATTTTACTATTTTATTTTTTTTTAGTTTTTTGTGTTTTATTTATTTGTTATGCTTTTAGTTGTGTTTTACTTTTTAGCTGTGTTTTACTTTATAGTTGTGTTTTGTTTTTTAGTTGTGTTTTACTATGGTCATTCAATATTTTTAATAAGCACAGTTATACTTGTTCTTTTTCTGAACATTAACTGTAAAGTTGAGGTATTTATAATTGTTTAGTTTTTAGAATTTGTAATTTTATATTGATACTAATTTCTATTTTTTTAAATTGAATTTCCATGATAGTTATTATTATTATTTTTTTTTGATAGGTGGGTGACATCATTGAATATTATCTTGTTCAAAACAAAGATGTCGCCAAAGTTTTGCTTGTTGCAAAGATAGGAAGGTAAGAATAAACAAAAGTTAACTTTTATCCTAAAATATGGTCTAGAAAAATCATAGGGTTGACTTATTTTAAAAGAAGTTATCTAGAAAAATGAGAGAGTTGGCTTTTATTCAAAGAAGTTATATAGAAAGATGGGAAGTTTAACTTTTAAATTTTAACTTTTGTATTAAGAAATTTTTTTTTTTTTAATACTGAAAAGTAGAGTAAAAAAAAAATTTATTTTACTTAATCACAACTTTTGATATGTTTATTTCATAATCAAAAGAAAAACGCTTTTGTGCTAACCACCAATGTGGTAACACCAGTGCTTAGAGACTCTAAACACTGGTGTTACCGCATTGGTAGCACCAGTGCTTAGAGTCTCTAAGCACTGGTGTTACCAATGTGTGTTACCGCATGCGGTAACATCAGTCCTTAGAGACTCTAAGCACTGGTGTTACCGCATTGGTGGTTAGCATAAAAGCGTTTTTCTTTTGATTATGAAATAAAAAGCTATAAAAAATTGCATTAAATCTACATATGATTTTCATGTTGTTCATGATTTTGTAATTTATATTAAAGCTGTGTTGTGTTTGTCATAACACCAAGCATTTAAGGCATTTTACCAACAATATTTTGGAGTCCCTTGTTCTGCAGCCTGAATGTTGTGAGGAATGTTGTATTTAAGCAAACCATTTTTATTAGACCTTCACGAAATCTTGCAGCATCCATAGTAACTGTAACTATTACAGCATTTATAGTAACTGTAACTATAGAAAACTTCAAAAATAAATACATTTTTCAAGTTTACAAAATAATAATACAAGATAATGTTACAAAAATGAACAAATTTTGTTCATTTTTGTATACATTATTCGTTGATGCCCATGAGTAAGTTGACAACTTATCTGTTTATTTATTTTTGTTGACACCATGGCTAAGCTTACTTTACTAAAATTACTTGCTGCACTTAAAAAATACTTATAAATAAAAAGTTGAAACAAAACAAATCGTTTTATAATAGCATAACATGAACACAATTTTAAAAAGATTTAATATGACCTGGCATAACAAAGTTTTCTTTGTACAAAAAAGTAAAAGTAGGGGGCCACTACAGTCGAGGAGGCTACTAATTTTTTTTTTTTTGTTGTTGTTGTAAATCGTGGTACAATACTCTCTCAACTCTTTAACTCTGAAACACGAATCTTGACAAGCACGGCCGCTGCGCAGAGAAATTAAGTTGAGCGCGGTACTTCCAGGGACATGATGGGAGTCGAACCCCCACCATGTCCCTGTATATATGTATATATATATATATATATATATATATATATATATATATATATATATATATATATATATATATGTGTATATATATATATATATATATATATATATATATATATATATGTATATATATATATATATATATATATATATATATATATATATATATATATATATATATATATATATATATATATATGTGTATGTATATATATATATATATATATATATATATATATATATATATATATATATAAAGTGTATGTATATGCATATATATATATATATATATGTATATACATATATATGTGTATATATATATATATATATATATATATATATATATATATATATATATATGTATATACATGCCTTTTTAGGCAAAGGCTAGGAGATGCAAACTCCAACATAAAACACCCCCTGCCTTGGGGCTCTTGGTTGAGTAAAGGCTAGAGATGGTGTCTCGATAAAAATACTCATCTTGGGCAGATGTTATATGCATCCGGCTGCTGTCTTGTAGAAGGCCTCCTAGGCAAAGACTTAAGGGGTAAACAGATTCTATCTGTTGACCAGCCTCGCACCCCTTCGTCATTTATTAGGCTGGCGCAGATGTATTTTTAATACATTGTTTCCAGTTTAGGATGTTGAACGCTGGATCTTCTTGACTCGATTCATGGGTTTTGCTTGTGTCTCTGTTTTTATGACTAGGCAACTCATTCTATTATCTCCAAATGAGGGTACAGCTCTAAAACTCAGTTTTATGGTTCTGAGGCCGGCTGGTAGTCAGGTTTCCCGAACTCTGTGGTAGCTCTCAGAGAGGCTGATTCCATCAACAGCTGAAAAATATCAGAGTACTAACAGTGCCATGTTGCGCATGGATGGTGTCCCTGTTTGTACTTTTGGTGTGCATTGCCAAGGCCACATTGGAGCCCTTTGTTACGGCTTAGGGTTTATTAGTGGAAATGAGGCAATTGCTTGAGCTATAGAACAGTGTACTGAGTACTATCAATGTTTCGAGTCAAGTTCTTTAACAAATTTAAAAATGAATAAAGTAACAAAAACTATAAAACACAAAAAACCATAGTCATCACCAAGTTCGCTAAACCTTACATTCACCAATATTCGTGGTCTTCGAAGTAACTTTTCTTCTGTTGAGTCTTATCTCTTGCAAAGTTCACCAGACCTGCTTGCTCTTTGTGAGACTAATTTGAGTTCGGCTGTCTCATCTTGTGATCTTAGTGTTGATGGTTATCTTCCGTTAATTCGTAAAGACTCCAATAGTCACATGCTAGACCTGGGCATTTACATTCGTATGAATTCACCCATTTGTCGGGAAACTAGGTTTGAATCCACAGACTACTCTTTTATGTGCTTTCGTTTAGCACCACTTCACTCTATCACCTTTCTCTTTGTTCTATATCGCTCTCCCTCATCTCAAGACTGCACTCTTCTTGATGTTATTTCTGATTATATTGACCAAGGTCTCATTCTTTATCCATCAGCCAATATTGTTGTTGTCGGTGACTTTAATGTTCATCACACTGAATGGCTTGGCTCTAGTGTCAGTGACTCTGCAGGCATTAAGGCCCACAACTTTTGTGTTTCTCAATCCCTAACTCAAATAGTCAACTTTCCAACTCGCTTTCCAGACAACCCGAATCATTTACCTTCTCTACTCGACTTATGTCTTGTTTCTGATCCTAGTCAGTGCTCAGTTTCTTCACATTCACCCTGTGCGTCTGATCATGGTCATCGTACATCTTACAACTACATTAAAGCTGACTGGGACTCTTTTCGTGACTTTCTTCGTGATGGCCCCTGGGTAGAAATCTTTCGTCTCCCTGTTGACAAAGTGCTTCTTACATAACTTCGTGGATTCAGGCTGGCATGGAATCCTTTATTCCCTCTCGACGATTCCAGGTAAAGCCTCACTCTTCTCCATGGTTTTCGTCATATTGTGCTGCTGCAATTGCCAATCGAAACCATTACTTCCATATCTATCAGCAAAACAATTCTCCAGAAAACAGACGTCTCTTTATTACTGCTAGGAACCATTGTAAAAAGGTTTTGTCTAACGCCAAAACCCGCTATTCTCAGATCATGAAATCTCGAATTTCATCACAAAAATTAGGCTCTCGTGACTTCTGGAAAATCTTTAATAGTATCAATAATAAGGGCAAGTCTGTAATTCAACCTCTTTTGTACGGTTCAGACTTTGTCACCTCACCTAAAGACAAAGCTGAATTGTTTGCCAAGAACTTTTCATCAATATCATCTCTTAATGCCACTAGTTGCGTTTTACCTGATATACCCGTCAAACAGGTTGATCCATTGCTCGACATTCGTATCACTCCAGCTTTTGTATCTATAGTGATTTCCCGCTTAGACTCTTCTACAGCTTGCGGCCCGGACAACATACCTGTTATAGTCTTGCAGAAGTGTTCTCCGGAGCTGTCGTCTATCCTTTCAAAACTATTCAACAAGTGCTTATCAGAGTCTTGTTTTCCAGCCTGCTGGAAAGCAGCATCTGTTATCCCTATTTTTAAAAATTCTGGGGAGCGATCTGACTCATCTAACTACCGTCCCATTAGTCTTCTTCCTATCATAAGCAAGGTTTTTGAATCCTTAATTAACAAACACTTAATCTCTCATCTCGAATCTCATAACCTACTTTCTGATCATCAGTATGGATTTCGATCTTCTCGTTCTACGGCTGATTTGCTATCAGTAATAACCGATAGGTTTTATCGCACATTAAATAAAGGTGGAGAGGTTAAGGCCATTGCTCTTGACATTTCTAAGGCGTTTGATAAAGTTTGGCATGCTGGTCTCCTCCATAAGCTTTCTTCTTATGGTGTATCTGGAAACATCTTTAAGATTATTGAATCCTTCCTTTCCAATCGTAGTATAAAAGTTGTCCTTGATGGACAGCACTCTTCTTCTTGTTCTGTAACCTCAGGGGTTCCTCAAGGTTCAACCCATGTACCTATACATTTTTTAATTTACATTAACGATCTTCCAGATATTCTCACATCTAAGGTGGCATTGTTCGCTGATGATACTACCATTTATTCTTGTCACGATAAGAAGCCAACTCCCTCTGATTGCTTGCAGGGGGCATCTGAGCTCGAAAAGGATCTCACTTCTGCTACAGCATGGGGCTCGCAGTGGCTGGTGAACTTTAATTCAGATAAAACTCAATTTTTTTCGGCCAATCGTTATCGCAATAATTTAGACCTTCATATATTTATGAACGGTAATGTACTCAATGAGTCTCCTACCCTTCATCTTCTAGGATTAACTCTTACTTCTGATCTTTCTTGGAAACCTTATATCAAATCCGTTGCAAAATTAGCATCTGCTAAAGTTGCTTCTCTTTATCGAGCTTGTCACTTTCTTACTTTGGATTCTATTCTCTATCTCTATAAATCTCAAATCCGGCCTTGTATGGAATACTGTTGCCATATCTGGGGCGGATCTTCTAATGATGCCCTTTCTCTTTTAGACAAGGTGCAAAAACGCATTGTAAACATAGTTGGACCTGCTCTTGCAGCCAACCTTCAACCTCTGTCACATCGTCGTAATGTTGCTTCTCTTTCTCTTTTCTACAAATACTATAATGGGCACTGCTCTAAAGAGCTAGCGTCTCTTGTGCCATCTACTAAAATTCATTCTCGTGTTACTCGTCATTCAATTAAGTCTCATCCTTTTTCTGTTACTGTTCCTAAGTGCTCCAATAACTCTTATTCGTCTAGTTTTTTTCCTCGAACATCAGTTCTTTGGAATTCGCTTCCTTCATCTTGCTTTCCTGATTCATATAATTTGCAATATTTTAAGTCGTCTGTCAATCGTTATCTTGCTCTACAATCTTCATCTTTTCTTTTCCAGTAACTTCCAACACTAATAAGTGGTTGCTTGCAACCTTGTTGGAAGCGAAGATAATTAAAAAATAATAAATTTTATTTTATTATTTTTCATTTTATTTTTATGTTATTTAAAGAGTTTAATTTGGTAAAATCAGGTGTAGTATTAAATACTGCCACAGTATGCGGCACCTATGTATATATATGATATATAATTACATCATGTTTGGTTATTTTATTATGATGTTTCTGCTAATATAGTAGGAGCCATTATTTAACTAAAAAATATTATCTATAGGTCTTGAGTTTGTCTATTTATATCTATAGTTTAAACATAAATATTACTTATAAATAAAAAAAAAGTATCAAAGTTTTTGTTAAGCAGATCAAATGATCTTTCATAAAGTTATTAAAAATTGTATTTTATTTATACAGTTAATTCCTAATAACTTGAATCACCAAGGGTCCAAGGAAAACGGTTCAACTTAACGAATATTCGACTAAAGTGAATTCCTGTTAAGTTGAACTTTGGCTGATATGAGATATTAGTTTGAGTTAGGGGAATTTTTCCTTATTCAATGGTGAAGTATATATATTTAGTATACACCATTTTACTATTGTTTTAATGAAAGGTTACGGACAGTATTCACGCAGTACAATTTAAAAAGTTAAGCAACACTTGTCTTCCTTATTATTTAGAATAAAATTGTGTTTAAAGGGTAGCATTCTTCTTTATAGAAATTCATTAAACTAGAAAATAATCATTTTTTTAACGGTTTTATCATTATTTACCTTTCAACAGTTTTTTATCGCATTATTTTACGTCTGATAACGATCTATTCTATTCAGATCTAAATATATCAAATAAATAAGGAAATGGTTAGGTTACATTTGTTTTTGTTTGAGTAATTTGACTTACCGGGAATTATATATTTATATTTTTGTATATTTTTATATATTTCTGTATATTTTTTCTTTATTTCTTTTTACTTTAACTAGATAGCTGTTGGTAGGTTGCCTATATGCTTTTCATTCCTTAGTTTTGAGATTGTATTAGATTCAACCCTAAATCTTTACTTAATTTAGTTAGTAATAATTATAGAATGAAAGAGCGTCGAAATGCTGCATTTGAACTTGCTAGTCTTGCTGCAACTGGTGATGATGCAAAAGCAAAAATTGTGGAAAATGAAGGGTAAGTAATTTAGTAAATATATAGAATAAAGTAGATATATTATAATTTAAATAAAGGGTATATATATATATATATATATATATATATATACACATATATATATATATATATATATATATATATATATATATACATATATATATATATATATATATATATATATATATATATATACACACACCTAAGTAGCAATATATATATAACCAAGTAAGAATATTGGCGCAATATAATAAACTATATTGCGCCAATATTACAATGCGAACATTTTGCCAATAGTGGTGCTACAATATTGCACCAACATTGTTAAACCAATATTGGCCAATGTTGCGCCAATTTCGTTAAGTCAGTATTGGTCAATAATGGCAAAATGTTCATATTGCAATATTGGTGCGATAATGTTTAAAATATTGCGCCAATATTGTAAATAATATCATGCCAATAATGGGGATATAATACTGGCCAATATTGGCGTAACATAGTTTACAATATTATCCCGATATATATAACTATATTAAGCCAATATATTCATTATTTTTGATTAAATTTTTATTATTAAAAAATAATAAAAAATATTGTCTTTTACAAGCTTTTAATAATTAAAATTTATAAAAGTTTTCTTGTTTAAATGATACTATAGTACTAGGCTGCATTATTCTTTTGAGTTAAACAGTTTATAGTCTAGGAGATAACAATGATCATAGAACACGCTTTAAGAAAAAAAATGGTAAATCATTAAATTTATTGGAAGTTATATGAAACAGATACAAATGAAAAAAAGAGGTATAGATTGCTCCAAAGCCAAAATATAACAAAATAAAATCAATGCTATTTAAATACAGGCACAAAAAATATGTATATACATATTTATAAACTACTGTATTATACTTTCACTATCAGAATATGGGCATTGACTTTTATTATTTGCCAATACTTATTTCATTGCTTAATATTGAGCATTGCTCAGTTATGGTTCTATTTTTTCTTCCGTAATCTTTTTCAATGGCCGTCGCCAGAAAGCTGCTAATTTTTTCTTTAATACTTTTGTCAGTAGCGATTTCGAATCGAACGAATACTACGATAAATGATTAAAAAATTGACTAACTACTAAACACAACTCTACAAAATGTTTTTTAATATCATCATAATATAATTTTGAAATATATTATTTTTCACGTATAAATATTGTAAAATAACTAGCTTTTACTAAAATATTTGTTTAATAATAGGAAATGGAATGAAGAATACAAATATTGTGCTTTACCTATAACGACCTTGCAGGATGTTTTTGTTTCCTTTCATACATTGAGTATGAAAAACATACTTCTTTGGCCATTAGCTGTATTACATCATTAGCATCTTGCACATGTGTAACTTAAAATTAAACAAGCAAAAACATTATTGTAAATAAGACAATTACCAAAAGAATTTTAAAAAAATTATTTTCAGCTGCTTCCAGTTACTTAAGTGTGACTTCATGTATAGCAGCCTAAAGACAAGATTCTTGCACATGATTTGGCCAATACACCAAACTTTCATTGATCAGCCATGAAAAACAAATAACATTCATTGCACACATGTTGTTTTTTCATTGAAAAATTCAGCTAATGCAAATTTTCTAAACTCCCATCTTCAGTTTAACGGTACAACAGCTAAAAAAATCATAACAATTAATTAAAAATAAAAAAATACTTTTTATTCAGATTATTTTTTTTAACTGAAAAGTATTAGTCTAAAATTTATTGAGTTTCGTTTCTCAATGTAAAATGTAATCGCTTTTTATTTCAAGTAGAGTTTGATTATTGGTTGTAAAAGAAAGTGAATTTTAAAGTTTGTGTGGTTTGGAAAGGTTTCCATAATAAAATTTTCTTATTTAAATATGACATTAAGGAAGAGTTAAGAATATTTGTTACAATTTTATTTTTATCATTGTTTTCATTTCTCCATTATAGGTTGCCTTTACTACAGCTAAAAAGCTGTAGTAAATGCACCCTGAAGACAACCAACTTGAGGCTCTAAGTAAATCTTTACCCTGAGATTACGAGATTCAAATGAGCATGAGATTAAGATCTCACACTCAATTGATTGAGTTAGCCTGGCATAGAATGAGTATTTTTTTTCAGCTATGGAACACTAAAATTAAGTGTTTTTAATACATAACACTAAAAAAATAAACATAAAAATTAATCAGTGATTAATTAATTTAAAATTTAATTTTATATTAATTTTTTTTCTACAATAAATAAAATTATAATCTATAAAAAAAAGAGTTAGTTTACTAGCATACTGCCGTAAACATACAGTGAATTGTTATTTAAGATTTAAAAAAAAATTATAAGCACCAATTGTTATTCTAGTATGAGTGTTGGTTTCATTAAAATATGATATGTCAACAAACTTGACATTAAAGGATTTTAAAGTATCTTTAGGCAAATAACTATTATAAGAGTTTTATATATTATTATTATTATTGTTACATATTATTATTATTGTTATTATTATTATTACTATTATTATTATTATTATTATTATTATTATTATTATTATTATTATTCAAGCTTATAATTTTACAAATAGAATAATTAGGTATATAAAATAAGCCTATCAACCTTTTGTTCTATAGTATCTACTTGTGTCAGTCTAATGGTTTATATGTAATTGTACATTTGATGTACCCAATATGCATCTAGATGTTTTTTAAATGTTGTGACAGATGTTGAACATACTATATCAGATGGTAGACTATTCTACCAATTTTTGAATTGCATACTAAAAAAGTTTTTCCAGACATCTGTCTTACAAAACATTTTTTTAATTTATAAGCGTGACCGCAGGTGAGATGGATAAAATACTGAATGGTATTTAATGAGACATCAAAAGGGTTGTAACTAAATTTATAAAGATGGTGAATGCATTTATAAGTTTTTGCCATGGCATTATGTAAGAAACGATAGCTCATGCTAGTTAAATTTAGTCTCAGTAGTCTTTGGTTGTGAGTCCAGTCAGGCCAAAAATAGGTTTACTAGACTTGCTTAGAACATTTTCAATTAATTGTTGATCTTTTTAAAGCCTAGGATAGTTGACAGAGCTGCAAGAATCAAGGTGAGAACAAACAATGAAAATAAACAAAGTAAGAAATGTCAAGATATTGAGATTGACAAATGATCTTTTGATCATTACAACAATTTTATGTCCTAAGCTTTATGTTTTTTTTACATTAAAACCTAGCTTTCATAGTTTTGTCCAGTTTGCTATAATGTCCATATCTTTCTGCAGGTTATTGCATGGTAAGCTATAAAAAAGCAAATTGTATAACTTAGTATCACCTGCAAATACAGATACAACATCTAAGACCAAATCAGAAAAATCAATAATTTATATCCTGAAAATAAATACTGGGAGGACCCCATTATTTACTATTATCCATTCTGAGTATGTACCACCAACAGTGGTACTCCGCTGGCGATCTCTTAGATAACATTCAATCAAATTGTAGAGTTTGTTTTCTATTCTATAAGCTTTTAATTTTAGAAGTAGGAGATAGTTGTGAAATGTGTCAGAAGCTTTTGATATGTATACGATATACATTAGATAACTGATACTGCTAGGACAAAGTGCAGTGACCTTGTGATTTATTTCCTAGAGGTGGACTAAAGATGATCTCATTGATTCGATCACTGAAGATGGTCTCATTGATTCGATCAATGGATTTGCTGATTATTAGGTCTAGTATATTTTTTGAGGAACCAATCACATTGTGTAAAAGTTGTTTTGGTTACAAGTTGATAGTAAGCACCATTGGATTGTGTAAAAGTTGTTTTGGTTACAAGTTGATAGTAAGCACCAGTGTTTCTACAATTCAATTATGCGATAAATTCGATAGCAATTTTTAGAAAAAGAATTGCAGGCGATTATTTACTATTGCGATGTTAAGTTAGATGATTGCAAAGCAATTTTTTTTTATTACAATTAGCCACTAACTAATTTAAATGCGAGTTTTTTCAATTTACGAGCACAAAAATCATAGCGATTACAATTAAATTGCATTTTTATCCTTATTCTCGCAACATACCGCAATTTTATCAAAAAATCACTATTTGTTGCAAAGATTGCTATTATCGTCTAATATTTCCATAAATTCTAGAAATCCAATTTAGCAATTAAATGTTATACTTATAATAAGTATAACATTTAATTGCTTTTTTTGCCAGTTTTCTATTAATTGTGATTCTTACAATTAATAGAAAACTGGCAAAAAATCCAAGTTACTAATTCAAAAAAGTAAGAACAGGACTTTGTTTCAAAAAAAAAATTGTTTATTTTAATATATTTTGTGAAGGAAGATCTAGATTTTTTATATCCTTTAAAACTTATAAAAATTTAACAATTGTGTATTAATTTTACCGAATTCAATTTAATTATAGCAAATAGGAATAACTCTTTCCATTAACTATCAATTATCTGTATTACAGCAGACTAATTGCTATTACGAAAACTATTTGTGTTAAATCCAACAAATTGCAAAAAACTGCAAAAATTTTTTTAATCTTTTTTTAGAAATATTTTTAAAAATCGATAATGTGATAAATTGCAAAGTGATTTTTATAGAGCAAGTTGCACGCAATTTTTATCTAAAAAATTGCGTGCAATTCATTTTTATCATTTTTTATCGCATAACTGAAAAAAATCGCTTTAGTGCTAACCACCAATGCGGTAACGTTGCTTAGTTGATAGAGGTGGAGTTCAAAAATAATATTAGCAAATTGGACGTCCAAACTGTTTTCACCACTTGTTGTATTTAACCAATCTTTGTTCCACTTTATGTTTGCAAAGTTAAAATCCCTAGTAATAATAAGACCTTGGAAATTTTTATTTTCATTAAGAGATTTTGAATATGAAATGGATCTAGCAATTTTGTTGAAGGCTGATACGCTGCTAGTTGGTGGGTGATGAATGCATCCTATAACAAGAGTGAATTTTTAATTTTTGTTCGTTTGATCTTT